TTCACCACTATTATTTAGAGTTTACCCCCCCCCCCCCAAATCAGACATGCTGAAAAAGCATTGTGAAGTGATTTGCTTTCTACAGCTGGGTTAAAGAATTAAATGTTGGTTTTGGATTTCTGCTATCCTACCTATTGACCCTGGAAGCATTTCCACTGAAAGTCAGATAGTCAAGAAACTGGTTTCTGTGTTCTGGAGTCGTGGCCGTGCTGGAGAGCCGCTCGCGGGGGGCAACCGGTGGCCTCGGTAGGGCGTGAAGGGCGGAGCGAAACGCCCCCCTTCCCATGAGGTTTTAGTCGCCCCCACACTCCCGGCTCATACCTGCTGTCCACAAGGCACCCATGTGGCCGCCATCTTTCTTTCCAGAGAGGAGAGGGCGAATGGGGCAACACCCTTTCCCCTCCGGCAGACTTGATGGGCTGGATCAACGCATAGTCCATTCACTTTTCTGCTCCAAGCTGCTGGGTTCTGCATTAAGTCCTTGTGCTTCTGGGGCCATGACCGTGCTGGAGAGCCGCTCGTGGGGGGCGACTTGTGACCTCGGTAGGGCGTGAAGGACGGACCGGAACGCCCCCCGACCCATGAGGTTTTAGTCACCCCCACGCCCCCGGCTCATACCTGCTGTCCACAAGGCTCCCATGTGGCCGCCATCTTTCTTTCCAGAGAGGAGAGGGCGAATGGGGCAACACCCTTTCCCCTCCGGCAGACTTGATGGCCTGGGTCAACGCATAGTCCGTTCACTTTTCTGCTCCAAGCTGCTGGGTTCTGCATTAAGTCCTTGTGCTTCTGGGGCCGTGGCTGTGCTGGAGAGCCGCTCGTGGGGGGTGACTGGTGACCTCGGTAGGGCATGAAGGATGGACCGGAACGCCCCCCTTCCCATGAGGTTTTAGTCGCCCCCACATCCCCGGCTCATACCTGCTGTCCGCAAGGCTCCCATGTGGCCGCCATCTTTCTTTCCAGAGGGAGGAGGGCGGAAGGGAGCAACACCCTTTCCCCTCTGGGCAAAAATGATTGCCTGGATTAACGCATAGTCCTTTCACTTTTCTGCTCCAAGCTGCTGGGTTCTGCATTAAGCCCTTGTGCTTCTGGGGCTGTGGCCGTGCTGGAGAGCCGCTCGTGGGGGGCAACTGGTGACCTCGGTAGGGCGTGAAGGACGGACCGGAACGCCCCCCTTCCCATGAGGTTTTAGTCTCCCCCACACTCCTGGCTCATACCAAGCAGATGATTTTTAAGCTAACCTAATAGGCATTTCTTTTCATATCAAAAGATTATGCACAAAATTATTCTGCAATGTAAATGGTATTGGCAGAAAATTATAATAAGTAAGCTAAGTAAGGGTAGCAAAGTGCAATCAAGTCCACACTCTTGGAATACATTTATGTCATTCAAAGTAAAGGAAATGAACTAATAGCAAAAAAGGGAGAAGTAAAAAGATCTATATCTAGAAACAATTTTCAGTTGACATGTCTTTTAACACATATCATTTTCTAAAGTCATTCAATAAATATTGGCTAGTACAAATACAGTTCTGTAAATTAGAGTGGATCCCTTGGTTTTGGCGCCAGAAATGAGACTGAAGCTAAAAGAATACAGAGTCTTCTTCCTTAATATAACTCTCTGAGAAAGTGCCTGGAGTGAACAACTGTAGGAGATGAGTTGGTGTTCTCAAAGGCAGGGCTAGATAGGCATATGGAAGAACAGCAGTCTTTACTGTTACTTTTTAAAAAAAATTTTATTAGTGAAACACCATGAGGTAAAGTTGTAGACTTACAAAATATGTGATTATCATTGTATAATCACAGTTATACAATGATCCAGTACCCATCCCTCCACCAGTGCCCATTCTCCATCATTTACATTTTTAAAAAAATTTTTGCTAGTGAAACACCATGAGGTACAGTTGTAGATTTACAAATTTTTGTGCTTGACTTTCAATTATTCAATGGTCAAACACCCAACCCTCCACTTGTGCCCATTTTCCACCACCACGAGTCCCAGTGTCCCTCCAACCCCCCATCCCCCATATCCCACCCTGTCTCTGTGGCAGGGTATTCCCTTTGTTCTCTCACTCCTTTTGGGTGTTGTGGTTTGCAAAAGAGGCATTGAGTGGCAATCATGTTTGGTCTATAGTCTACTTTCATCATGCTTCTCCCATCCTGGGAGGATCTTCCCAACACCCTTTATTTGGTGCTCCTTTCTCTATCTGAGCTCCCTTTCCCCCTAGCATGTGTGGCTGGCCTCCAAGCCATGGAACAAACCTCCTGGTACTAATCTCGGCCACTCTTGGGTGTTAGTCTCCTATTTGTTACTTTATGTTCCCCAGATGAATGCAATCTTTCTATGTCTATCCCTCTCTTTGTGACTCATTTCGCTTAACTTGATACTTTCCATGTAGTACCACTTGTATGTATGCTTAACATGATACTTTCCATGTAGTACCACTTGTATGTAAATTTCATGACTTCATCTTTTCTAACAGCTACTTAGTACTCCATTGTGTAGATGTATCCACTGTTACTTTTGGATGTTGTGTTCCACTGCTGGGTTTTCTAGCATATTCTCCCTCTTAAACATCTTTTTCTATACTATTCCTTCCCTCTAGATTTAAAAATTATTCAAGAGACTGAAAACAAGATTAATGATGGGTATATTAGAGTTGGGTTTAGAAACCCATTCTAGCAAAGCTTTTATTTTTAGTTCTTGTAGAGTCAACCTTACTAGAAAAAAAAAATAAACCACCACTGATCACATGAAACATTGGCAATACCATTGAAAACAAATTACATGAGAATTTCAATGCAATGGTTGCCATAATTGGTATCTCAAAAAGATCTGGTAAATACCAGGCAGTCCCAAATACTTAGCATGTATTGATTGTCTTTCTATTGAATTTTTGAAAGTGTAACATATGTGGGAAGAGAGATCTTTCAGCTTGTGCTTTGCATATTGGAGGCCTGGATTCAGTTTTCAGTACTGTATTGTCTCTTGATGCTACCAACAGTGGACCTAAGCACCAACCAGGGGTTGCCCCTTAGCTTCATTGGGTGTCGGCCTAAACAACACAAAACAAACAAATAGCATTTGTTTTTCTCCTATAAATCAATTATCAAAATAAATATTGGCAAGGAGTTTAGTGTAGTCTTAACAGAGTTCTTTAATTTTCAAACTCTTTATTCTGGAAGTGGAACCTTATTGAATGGATGGACTTAAACTGCAATAAAATTTTCACATCCATCCATCCAACCATCCATTTATTAATTCATTCACTCCTTCAACGGATCATGATATTCATCCATCCATCCATCCATCCATCCATCCAACAGATTTTGTTTTATTGTTGTTTGTTTTCTATTGTTTAGATGTTTGGAGCTGTACTTGGCAATTCCCAAGGCTTACTCCTGTCTCTGTGATCAGGGGTCATTCCTGTCAGTGCTTGGGAGAGTATATGTAGTGCCCAGGATAAAATATGTGCAAGAGAAGGCTTTGACCTCTGTATTATCTCTTCAGTCCCAACAAATCTTTTTGTGTAGTCCATGTACTAAGACTTGGTAGAGTGTTTGCACATATATCAAATATGTGAACAAAACAGCTTTTACCATTCTCATGGAATTTACCATTTAGGGGAAGAAAGAGTAAATAAGGCAATCACATGTCATGGTAACATTTATGAAGGAAGCAGGAGGCTGAATTTGAGTACAATGGATGAGAATATTTTAGATAAGGTAGACAAAGAAGCATATTCTTATACCGTCCCCTGCTCCATACTCTGAGACCCAAATCATGAGTAGAATTTGATTATATAAAAAGTAAAGTAGAGAATTTCAACACAGGGTCAGCATGGATAAAGATTTTGAGATAGGAAATACCATGGCATATCTAAGTAACAGAAAGGCCTCTGGATTTCAGAAATGAAAATGCCAAGGAAGGAAAAGTATTGGGGGAGATGAACTGATGTTAACATAGAAGCATTGGTCAAGGATCTTTGACATTTTGGTGTTTTACAGGTGATATAACTGTACATCAAAACCTTAAGGGTCAAGTGTTAAATTAGTCAGAAGGAGAAGAATAGACTCAGAATGATATCACTCATATGTGGGACATAGTGAAACTTTACAGGAGGATATCAAATGCCCAGAACTGGAGAATCGGTCTTAACTAGGAAGCTTGTCACTGGGATGTGTGTGTGGGGGATAAGTTAGGGAAGGCAACGCTAGAACAAAAAAATGCCAGCCACAGGGGCAGGATGGGGGCAGGAGGGAAATGAGGGACATTAATGGAAGGTAGTGGACATTAGTGAAGGGGCTGGTGTTGGAACACTGTATGCGTGAAATTCAATCATGAATATCTTTCTAACTTTGTAATTGATGGTGCTTTAATTAAAAAACTAGCCTGAATAATCAATACTATTGTAAACATGTGGGCTGGAGTGATAGCACAGCAGGTAGGACATTTGCCTTGCACATGGCCAACCCAGGTTCGATTCCTCCACCCCTCTTGGAGGGCCTGGCAAGCTACTGAGAGTATCTCACCCGCATGGCAAAGCCTGGCAAGCCGCCTGTGACATATTCGATATGCCAAACACAGTAACAAAATGTCTCACAATTTGTTGTGAGACGTTACTGGTGCCTGCTCGAGTAAATCGATGAACAACAGGAGGACAGTGCTACAGTACTATTGTAAACATGTAATCCAGGCTTTAATAGATAAATTTTAAAAATTACTTTGCTAAGGCAGCAGAGTGGGGAGTTGGAGGTGAGGGATGCTTGTGATGAGTTTGGAGAGGGAATATTGAATGCCTAAAACTATTATTAAAAGCTTTGTAAATCATAGCTTCTAAACTAAAAAAAAGGAAGACCAGTAAAAGTTTTAATTGCAAGTGTTCTGCCTGTTGTACTATCTCTCTGGCTTTCCCAACTCTCCTTAAATAAGACTATATAAGCATCAATTTACCAGTAGGGCCTTGATAATAACTTTAGTCATATTCCCTTTTTCCCTTTTAGGTTCAGTTGATGGTGCCATGGACCTGATCTTGATCAATTCCCTACCTCTTGTGTCTGATGCTGAAACATCCCTCACCTGCATTGCATCTGGATGGCATCCCCATGAGCCTATCACTATAGGAAGGGACTTTGAAGCGTTAATGAACCAGCACCAAGATCCACTGGAAGTAATTCAAGATGTGACCAGAGAATGGGCTAAAAAAGTTGTTTGGAAGAGAGAAAAGGCTAGTAAAATCAATGGTGCTTACTTCTGTGAAGGGCGAGTTCGAGGACAGGCAATAAGGATACGAACCATGAAGATGCGTCAACAAGGTAACATACCCCTTAGTTGTGAGCAGGTGAGGTCCTCTGAAAAATACAAACACAACTTTTATTTTGGCAGCTGCTCACTCAGAGAACAGATATGAGCTCTCTGAGTGTATTTTGCAGACTATTTTTTTTTCAAACTTTTCAACTACTGATCTCTCTGGTACACAGAACTTTAGAGAGAAATGACCATCCATTACATACAATCCTTCACAAGATATTATGCCTAGTTCATGAAATGATACTAAATATATCATGTTTTCTACTAAGAGTTCTTGGAGGCATGAACATACATGTAATATGAAAATAAACGCAATGAAGACCATGGTTCATTGCCAAACTTATGTCTATTTGGGACTTTCTTATTAATTCGTTCATTTGATACTTAATCTTGCTTACAACTAAGTGTTAAAACAGAATTAAATGTCTTTTAGGAGGAAACATAGCAAAAATGTAAAAATTAAAAGAGGTATTTGCTCATCTGTTGTGTATAAGTTATATCAGTGTCCCACAGGTGTACAACAATGTATAACACAACCAAAACCTACACAGACATACAACAAGCATATATAGCTTACGAATCTAAGTCAGCTAAGTTAATTGGCAGACATCTTGGGTGGGTATTTCCATATATGTGAGTGGTCGCTCGTTAGACTGACCTTGGCTGAAGCAATTTAGTTCTGTTTCATGTGTCTAGTATCCTTTAGCAAGTTAATATAAGTACACCTTCATAGACATGACAGAAGGGCAAGAGAACAAGTGTAAACACACAAGGCTTCTTAAAATATGATGTGAAATTGTATATGCTCACTTCTGCATCATTTTATTACTATAGTTAAGTCCAATAAGTGATCCCAATATCAGAATAAGAAGTCACTATAAAGTTAAGTGAGAAAATGTGAATAGAGGGAGGATGAAGAATTGGAGCCTTTTTTGCTGGCTACTATTTATGGAAAGGAGCTGCAATTTCATTTTAGCAGTTGAGTATCCAGACCCAGATTCCAGAACTCCAGTAAGCTGAAGGAGGATGGTGAGAGTACCTTGTAAGGAAGAACTTTGTTACCACCTCACAAAGTAGGGATGTGATAGAACCTTTTTTCTCCCCAAATTGGACTGGGTCTTAAACCTGGCTAAACATTCAGCTAGTTTATGAGACTGATAACACATGGGAGAGGTGACATTGCAAAACCTGATTGATGATTTGCTGTGAGGCACCTAGGCCTAGAGAAACAAGTAGACTTTTTAGCGCTTTTGAGATTATCTGTTGGGAGGAAGATACAGAACCTCTTGTTCTAATTAAAAGCTCTTTTCCTTTTCCCATCAACCCCTCTCTTGGGTTAACCATCACTTGATTACTTGATCACTTGCCATCCCTTTTGTTCATCGATTTGCTTAAGCAGGTGCCAGTAACGTCTCCATTCATTCCAGTCCTGAGATTTTAGCAGCCTCTCTTTACTCGTCCTTCCCAACCCTGCTGTATTGGAGGCTCTTTCAGGGTCAGGGGAATGAGACCTGTTATTGTTACTGTTTTTGCATATCAAATACACCACAGGTAGCTTGTCAGGCCTGATGGGATACTCTCAGTAGCTTGCTGGGTTCTTCGAGAGGGATGGAAGCCCTCTGAAATAAGGCCAATAAATGAGCTTATATAACTGAGCCGGAGGTGGTTTGTGGGTGTGTCTCCCACATACCTAACTTTTGGCCATTTAATTTCTTGGTAAACTTGGCCTCAAGTTGTTGGGGTCTGGCCAAAGGCACAAAGGCAATTTTGGGGTATCTGAAAGTCTGCTGATGCACTCGCCTCACAGGTACAGGTTGACCTGCTGGCTTGCCATACCCCCAGGCTGACCATACCTATAACAAAAGAGTCTTTCCAAACATCATCACAACTGCATAGGACTGTGAACTTTCCTAAAACAAAGACACTGTTCTCTAGGGTATAGCCTTGTTGCTGGAGAATGACCAAGAGGGCCCCCCCCACCCCCAGGCATCCTCAGCACTACTTGGGAGTCCCCACTTGAAAACTAACAAATCCCCTTACAGTTACCGATAAGCACTCACCTCTGCATATTTCTCTCTAAAGCTCTTACATAAACACTAACAATTCTTTTTTAAAACAGTGCTTTTCAAAGTTGAAAGTACTTACAAATCTCTTGCAGACATTTAAAGAATGTAAACTATAATTTAGTAGGGCCTGAGGGAGAGTGCTGAGATTCTGCCTCTCTGTGAAGTTCCCTAGGGATGAAGTGCAGCTGCAGTGTCCAGGACCACATTTTGCAAGACCAGGCATTAGAGGCTGGTCCTGCCTGCCTGAAAAATGTTTCTTTGGATTGCCAACAGTGGCCCTCAAAAGATCTGAAAGCAACAAACCCGGTTTAAGATTAAAAGTGATAAAAATCACTCTCCACTCCAAATGAAGGAAAGGGTTTTCTTAACAAAACTGTAATGTTCACCTTTAAATGACACCACGGCGAGTGGGAAACACACACCACAGAAATTCCCAGGAAAGCAGCTCCTCAGCGAGGGAAGAGAGGTTGAACAAAGGGATGTGAGGTGTGCCAAAGCTACCACAGTTGAAAAGTCAGTTCTATTATTTTTCACAAGTGTCATTTGGTATTTGACTTGTATAAAAAGTTATGTTCATCTGCTGTTATTTCCATACTTTTAATGAAGATGATTTGAGATTTGAGCCACTCTGGTTTCAACAAGAATGAAATGTGGATTGCTACTGTGCCATTCTGAGCTCTCTTGTAATGTAACTTGATAATATGTAAGTAAGAACCAATAGAGTACATTAATCTAGAACACTGAGAGTAGATGACCAATGAAGGTGATCTCTTCAAGAGAAAATCCAGGTCAGCAAAGGAGAAGGGTTAAATTCAGTAAAGGGATGCTTAAATTCAGTAAAGGGATGCTGTCTTTGGAAAGTGAGTCACATATGGTATTTCAGTGTCATAACTACCTGAGTTTGAATACTTTAACATTTATCAGCCTTAGGCAAAGTTTTTGATTTGTTATTGGGCTCATATTTTAAAATAGATATGCTAGTACCTTTATACTTGTCTAGCTTTAAACTAGGTGGCTAGGTGGTATCCACAATAATGCATTAAAATATCCCTATAAATTATTTTAAAATATTTGATCTGTGTGATAGATAAGTGCTTATGCTGAGGGAAATATTGCCAAGTAAGTTACATAAGAAGACTAACAGTTTTTTTTTTCTTTTTGGGTCACACTCTATTTGCTAGAGGTTACTCCTAGCTCATGCACTCAGGAATTACTCCTAGCGGTGCTCAGGGGAGAGGGCGGGGAACCATATGGGATGCTGGGAATCAAACCTGGTTGGCTGTGTGCAAGACAAACACACTACCTGCTGTGCTATCACTCCAACCCTGAATAATAGTATTTTGTCAATGTTGAAATGGGATTTGATGCTCCTGATATGACTTCAGAGCCTATACTTGTGGTCACCACACTCACCTTTGGGTGGTAGTGTCTTTTCATGTTAAGCACCTCCCTTGCTTTGAGCAATTGTTTCATAAAATATACAACTCCTCTCAAAATCTTAAAAAGCAACCCAAGTCTCCTAGTTAAAGTGTAAAAGTAGAAGTCAGCTAATCACCGGGTTTCAGCCTAGACCTGCAACTGTATATGTCTGTTGGTTTACTTAGTTGAAATCAAAGTTTTCTCACTTGAAAAAGAAGTTGGAGTCAGGAAGATAGCACAGGCAGTACAGTAAGTATATGATTAGCATGTGCAAAGCTCTGTGTTAGATCCCCAGAACAACATGTCATAACTCTCAGCACACAGGGGTGGCACAGATTGTCCCCAAGAACCAAACTGTTAGGCTTGAGCAGAGAATTTCCAGGAGTGGCCCCAGGGTTCCCTAAGCAGCACTATGTATGAGCTCTATTTTAAAAAAAAGCAGAAAAAGAGATTTTTAATGCTTGTTTGATAATCAAACAAGGTAATTAAAGATAACCAATATTACCTGAATCTCAGTTAATATTCTATAACTACCATTTCTGTAGACCTTGGAGTAACATCTAACGTATAAAACTATTAATTTTTCTAAGCAACTGTAGACATTTTAATCTCCATTAGCATTATTATGGAAGTTTATGCAAAATAGAAAATAGAGGCAGTATTTCCCTCCTAATATTTTCGACAACTTGTAGGCTCTGCTGTTGAATGGTTCTGTTTCTTTTGCTGACTTTTTTATAGCTGAAATATGGGAGGGGAAAGTTCTATTCTTTATGATGAGTCGGGAAACCTTCCCAATGATCTTTATGCCACCATTAATTCCCAAGTAAAACATCATGGGAACTCAGAAGTGCCTGCTCGAGGACACAGCAGGATAGGATAAACATAAATATATTTTTGCTTGCTGCAAACTTGCAGTTGGGGAGGAAGTGGAAAATCTATGAGCTGTGCCAAAATGCAGCTTTAGTTGGCTCACAGACTCCAAATAGCCAAACAGTTTTATCAATGGCATCATATGATAGCAGCTTATTCAAATTTCACTGGCTGTTTTAGAGTTAGGGACTTAGAAATGAAGTTTCAAACAGTTTGCATCCAGCGAGCTCTTGCATTTTCATCAGAGGAAGAAGATTTTTTTCATTCCATTTTCATTTGAGAAATAGCTTTTCTTTAAGAACGTTAAATTTCCCAAACATGATTTGTGAAGTTGATGGTAATGAATTGTTTGTATTTAAATAATCCAAACAGACTTGTTAAGTACATAAAGTTGGAAAGTGGGAGAATTTGGAACCACTTCATTGATTTATTCTTTTGTTCCATGAAGATTTTTTTTACAGTTTAAGAAATTAAATTTTAGGTAATATGATAATAAAAGTGTTCAAGTTTGTGGTTTTGATGTACAAGGTTGCTGTGACCCACCTATCAGTGAGCCCAGGGCTCTCCATCACTATCCCTATGTCCTTCATCACCTTCAGTCCTCTCTTCATCCCCTCTCCCTCACTGCTTGCTAACCACTTTTTCTTTCT